AAGAGAGAACGAGAGAGAGAGAGAGGGGGGGGGAAGAGAGACAGAGAGAGAGAGAGAGAGAGAGAGAGTACTATTGTGTAGGAATATATTATTATTATGTGCGTGTACATGTGTGTTTGTGTGGATGCAAACGCAACTGCTTATCATTTCTACTAGTACATTTTGTTTGCTTTAAACTATAACTGCAAGTCTAAACGACTCCTTTTCTGACAGCACGAAACCAACCGCGGGTTTATTTTTCATTATTATTCCAGTTACATCGCGGGTTACTTTACTGGGTAATCCACAGGCCAGGAAGCACACAATGGTTCTCCACCTCACAGAACTGTTTCGGGCAGCTCATTTTACGACCGTTTCTCCTTTTGTTTTGATCATTGATTCACCTTCCTTGCCATGTTCGCACCGTGTGAAAGACGGATTACTTGTGAGTGGGTGTGTTAGTGTGGAGAAGCCATGTGTTAAGTTTGCTTCGTATTTACGTAAATGTACATTATCTTACCCTGAACAATTTGTTCGTTTACCTGCCGTATTTTATCTCATTAGAATGTATACACACATTCAACACAAACAAAACTTTTTAAAGTTTGAATGTTGCAAACATAGAGCATTTAGAAGAGAAACAAAACAAAAAGCAAACAAACCGAAACAAAAAAAAAAAAAACAAAACAAAACAAAAAACAAAAAAAAACCGACAAAACAATTCTTCAAAATCAACATAGCTCACCTCGTCTGTTACTTGACCGCCAAAGGTGACCCAGGTTCCTAAAGAAACACACACACACACACACAGAAAAAGAGTTAAATCACTATAATAATGGGTGGTTGGCGGGTCCTCTTGTGTGGTTTGCTCCTTCTTTCCTATCAAACATCTATCGTCCTCTATATCTCCTCCTTTTTTTTTTTTTGTTACTTTCTCGTAACACCTCTAATTTTCGGCACTTATATGACCTTATTGTGTTGCAAGTGCCTTAAAACTCTTACTAAAACAAAAACTAAATTACTATAATAAAACTTCTTCTTTGGTTAACCACAATCATTATTTTTATATCCAAAAGTGTATTTATGCATAAGTATGTACACATTTCTATATTATCAATTTCAAAATACCTGTTTATTACAGTTTGGTAATCAGTGGCCAAGAATGTCCTTCTCTTTAGCTTGAGATATTATTGATGTGACAGGGATCTTGAAATTTTATTTTGAAGCACATTGGGTATCTTGTTGAGGTAAAAAATAGGCAAACTAAAAGGAATGTATTATTGTATTCATATGTTATAACAATAGTGATAATGACCACAATGATGATGGAGATGATGACCCTGATGGTGAGGCCGATGATAATGAAAAAGAAAGCACAATTACGCATCATCACAAAGTTACTTACCAAATCCTATGTTCGACACACGCAGACCAGACTTCCCGAGGTTCCTGAAATGAGACAAAAACATTGTAGTTTAGAAAAATATTAAATTCATTTTTTAAAATGTGTACTCCAGGTTCCAATAATATCTGACAGCAAATCATTTTAAATACTTCCGTAGATTGTGATGTTTGC